CATTTGAAAAGGTTCCACTATATCGATTGCAAAGTCAACAATCTCTAAATAGTTGTAGAGTCGTTAATCCTGCTGTTCATGAGCAATGAGAGGATCATTGGAGAACCCGACAGTTTTTATATGCGTGGGAACTTGATATCCGAGTTATTCTCTCGAATGACTTAATTTAGGGATAACTAGAAAGGTAACATTTGCAAAGCAAATGCATAATGTTTACCTTCGCATATGGTCTGCTCTGTTAACTCTTCCTCAAACACATTCATATATTTGGTCAGACAGGAGTCTAAATCCCTCCTGCTATAAAATTGCAACATTATGTAATGCAACACCAGTAACCATGGTGAGAGACAGTCTGGTTCAGTCAGGTCAGAGGTCACTGTTTGGAGACGAAGAAGAAAAGGAAACGTAGCAAAAACAATATGTTTTCCTTCGGTAAACATAATTATCACCTACATGTCCTTTTTTCTCCCCACTTAGCTGAACCAAGACCACATGCGCGACCAACTGTTTGTACTACATAGAAGGCATTATGGCGACCCTGTACCCAGCCACTAAAATAGCATTTTTTTCAGTCGCTACGACAAAAATGCTATCGGGGAACCTCACCCACTGGCCTCTCTATCTTTATTTACTGCCCATACCCATCCACTAAATACCATGCACAACCATCCAAAACTTTTGTGATACAGCACATACAACCAAAGATATATACACAAGCTATTCATTTCTCATTTATGTTGTACACACAATCAAACACACACACACAGCACACACACACACACACACACACACACACACATACACACACACACGCGCGCGCGCACACACACACACAGCACACACACACAGCACACACACACACGCACACACACACACACATACACGCACACACACACAGCACACACACACACACACACACACACACACATACACGCACACACACACAGCACACACACACACACGCACACACAACACACGCACACACAACACACACACACAGCACACACAACACACACACACAGCACACAAACACACACACACAGCACACACACACACATACGCACACACACACACCACACACACACGCACACACACACACAGCACACACACACACACACACATACACACGCACACACATACAGCATACACACACACACACACACACACACATACACACACACACACACACAGAGAAAAATACAACCCGTTGCATGCTTTGGTTACATAATCCTTGCTCACCTGTGCTCACCTACCAAATACCATTAAGTCCATTCACAGCTTCTCGACATATGCTGTAGACATACAATCAACAAATGTATAAAACACGGTGGTCAAATTTGGGCCCAAGAACCCAACCTGCTTTAGAACCCTATTCATGTCGGCTCTGACGTACTTCGAACTGAACATTCGATTTGGGGTCTCCGGCGGTCATTTACAGTAAACCGGGGTTTCAGACCCTTTTCACATGGGCACCTCCTAACAGACAAAAATCACATTATCACAAATATAAACCATTTTCTGGACAGTATATCACATTCTAGTGGACATATTTAACGAAGCGCCTGTTGTCATCGTGGTTGACTTGCATATCTCAAAACTTGTACACGCCCATACAACACCATCGCCCCGTGCGTGCCGAATAACATGCGTGCTTAAACAAGCAATGCCCAAGGTATGTTTTGGGCGTCTCAAAATGACCGTAGCATTTTACCAAAAATCGGGTTTTAGGGATTTCCCTAGATTTTGAATTATGGGTGATGGAGTGCGAAAAATGTGAAAAAATACCCTTTTTTCGCCCATTTGTCGGCAAAAACTATACTCAAAATCAGAAGTTAAGAAATACCTAAACACGACTTTGATCTTATTTCTGGCCGTTGAAAGATAAGAAAATCTTGAATTTTGGGTGATATATGTAACCAATTTTAAACGATGTTTGGCTAAAAATGTGGCGACGGAAATCCCGCAAATTATGGCCTTTCCGAGCGAAATCGAGCATTTTACTTAAGAAGTTAACATTCAAAGTACGTAAAGACAATACTTTTATTTCAACAAAATTTTCCTTTCCATACTGTTTTAATTTCAAATGTCTTACGCTTAGCCCAAGTATTACGCCTTTGTGCCTTGCCTAACAAGGGGAAAGATACCCTTGCAACCGACCACCACGAAAAGCCAACTGCAGTGTCGTTGTAAAACGCTTGATGGATCATTTTTTACCCTAAACTTCGGTTTCAACGACACAACAACCTTTCACAAACTAAATATCAAGAAAATCCACATCTTCTCGAAGTTTGGCGTTGACCTACATAAAGGCCCACACAACATCCACTCCACCATGGCCAAACAATGAAACATACCCTTCTGACGAAGGCAAAAAAGAAAACAATTAGGGTTCTGTTCTAACACTGTAGTCCACGACAAACTGTTAGTAAGCTAAACCATGCGTACGTACCTTGAAATAAAATGACGATCTGTGCCACCAGTAGATGTAATATGACGGAGTTTGCCATAGTCAATATTCCAAGCTTAGACCTCGCAGTCCCAACAGTAGCCCATTAACATCGGTTTTCATTTGTTTCCTAGTATAAAGCCATCCAAGAGTGGGAGTATCGTCTTTCCACACTCCTAACCACGCTCCTTGGGCCCAAGTGAGACTGAGATAATTTCATCAGTTAGAATACCCTTCATAGAGACCCAAATTCAGCTGTATGAAGCATAAAACTGAAAGAGGTCCAGCAGATTTTTTTCTCTGACTGCAATGCGGAGTAACACATGTACAAACCCGATAATTCAGCTATGTTTGTGAGGGTGTTGTTGCGAAGGGTTTTGATTTCTTAATAAACAAATATTTTTTGTGTCGGACAAATCAACCGGAAAGTAATACGCGTGACTTCAGTTGCATTGTGTGCCAGTGCCCTGAAAAGGAGGTAACATTGCCAAAACACCTCCCGGGGCGTTTTAAGACTGATGTTGGCTTTCTTCTTTTTGCTCAATTCATTTGAAAAGGCACTAGGTCACGCTAATAGTATGTAAAACCACACACAAAGTCAACAGAACATAGCCCAATGCAGTCTCTGTGGTACCATCTATCGCATTCATCATATCAAATTGCATTATGGGCATTACGTACTGCCTTGTTACAACTCCCACAGGGAAACTTTGGTGGTCCAGGCCCTGGGTTGATCTCAGATATCCCCGCTTAAGATCAGAATCATGATCAGTGAAAACTTTGTGCTACTATTGTGCAACAGCACTTCTTACGTCTACCAGTGTTGGCGTCCTTACAAATTCCACAAATGCAAAGACCTTCAAGATATATCAGTACGAAAATCTGTTATCAAAGTTACTAAAGTAACCACACATCGTTCTATGATTCCTAGATTCCAATGTCTATACTAGTATACAGTTGCCCTCCCCACACAGAGATAACGTCACTCGTACTCGTCGCCCTCCCCACTCGGTACGTGGCGGTTTACAGGACAGTAAAAATTGATTGAATTGAAAATATAAAAATGCCACCATTCACCGGTTTTAAAAGTCCACAATACATTCAAGTAATACTTGTGGGTTAATCTAGAAGAAAAACCCCAGCAAATTAGTACAATAAGACGTACAAATGAGAAAATACTCGGGAGCTCTCGTTTTTGCTGCTGCTCACCTCCGCGCTTGCGTTCTGTTCTCATAGTTGTAGAGTCGTTAATCCTGCTGTTCATGAGCAATGAGAAGATCATTGGAGAACCCGACAGTTTTTATATGCGTGGGAATTTGATATCCGAGTTATTCTCTCGAAGGACTTAATTTAGGGATAATTAAATGTACTTGTTTCTCCCCAGTTAGCTGAACCAAGACCACATGTGCGACCAACCGTTTGTACTACATAGAAAGCATTATGGCGACCCTGTACACAGCCACTCCCACCCCCTTTTTCCCACATTCCCACCACCCCATCCAAGCCTCATAACGCGTCCTTTAGAAATAGTAGTATAAGAAAACCTCTTTATATTTAATCAGGGAATCCGTGTTGACAACGTTGATATTTTATTTCGCGGGAACTATGCGCCTTTCCAACAAAAGCAGTATTCGTAGTGTTTGATTGTCGGGCACCCTCTTTCACAACGTAGACCAAGGAGCTCGAGGTTTGATTTAAAAAAAAAACCTTACAACCCTCCTTGCATAGGCCTAGTACAGAATTTGTTCAGAAAGGAAACAACAGCGATTTACGATGTACATAAGTTTCTTCAGCGGTTACTTTATGTTGTATTGTTATTATTTTATTGTGTTTGGGGATTGCCCCCCAGGGTGCATTGAAAACCGCCCTCCAGGGCGATATGTTTCTCTGGTTAAATAAACAAACATTACGTCGCAATCGCAATAATATATTCCATCAATATACAAATATATGTAATTAGTACAAAAGTTTCAGAGTTTAATACTTTAAACAGTAAATTATAAAACCGAGGAAACAAATTAGAGCAAATAAAATGCTTAAATGCTAAAATTGATGACAGAAAAATTTACAGGTACTTACTGTAGACGCGTACTCCTAACAATGGTAAAAAGATCCATAACTGCCAATTTCAAATATTGACAATTTCCTCAGTGTAAATAATGCAATATACATGCTGCAATATTAATACATACTAAAGCACACTAATAGTAAAAGATCCTTACACTTCGTACAACGCTGTCAAGATGTTTTCCCATAAGGGTTGAAAGGCCACGTCCTAAATATTCTGATCTGGCGGAAAAATGAAAAAATCAGATTTTAAGGCCTGTACATGTTTCCAAAAAACAATTATAGTAATAATATCTGCGCATATGCACACGACTGCCATTTGGCTTAAGTAACGCTAGTGAGTTAAGTTACAGTCGTCGAGAAATAATAGATAATAAAGTATAAAACACGCTAACCTGATGTGTGTTCATTAACTACATGTTGGGTAACTAGAGAATAATTATACATAGAATATAGAGTAATACATAGAATGATTATCGTGCAGGTCTTTCCCTAGTCTGTCTGGTGGCGTTGGTGTAAAGTGCCCCCCAAATCACACTAGGGTCTATTCATAATAACAACCATACAGTAAAACAAACACTGTCGGATGTTGGAAAAACAAAAAGCACATGTTATGACGTCTCCCCATGTGATTCAGTATTTCTCGTCCGTGGCGGTTTGCAGGCTTTGGTAGGTGTTCTCATCCAAACTCGCCAGGTTGATGTAGTCCTGGGTGTTATAGAAGAAGAGTATTAGAGTGACACAAAAAAAAGAAAATGCTCAGACGATAAGCATTGCAGTCTACCTAAATTACAATACTGTATTGACGTATGATAAAAAAAATACAACTGACTTTCACATTGCAAACTTTTCTGCTGTTATAACTTTTTCTAGATCATTTGCTTTGATATGATCTTTTTTATCTTCTGTTGCAATTAAAAACAGATTATAATTATTTTTAATTACAAAACTACCTTCTACAAAGCCATCGTATTAAGGGCGTTGCATATGTAGACAAGTCATTGCTGTAATACCAATGCATACGAGATCTAAAAGTTTGGATCCGCTCACATGTTCAGTCTCCATGAGTGACTCCAGGGTCCGCCGGATCTTCCGGAATTCTAGCCTCCGGGCGGGATCGGCATTCCAGCAGCTCAGCATCAGGGTGTAGCTGTAAATATCATTCGCAAGAAGATCATTCGTATCAGGTATTCTTCCTCCTTTAATTAGACGTATTTTCGCATAAAACATGACCAGCGAAGCACAACATTGCATTCACACCTTGCTAAGCCCATTTTATGACTTCATCTTTTATAACCATTATTTGCTCTTCTCTTTGCTGATGATACAAATCTATTCATGTCTCATAAAAATCTCAACACGTTAGTAACTACAATGAACGAAGAATTGGATAAAGTAAATAAGTGGTTCAAAACAAACAAATTGTCTTTAAATGTTAAGAAAACAAATTTAATAATATTTGCAGGTAAAAATAGAAATTACCCGAAGGAAAACGTACAAATATACATAAACAGCAACATTATTACTCAAGTAACACACACCCGTTTTCTAGGGGTTTTAATAGATGCAAAATTAACATGGAAAAATCACATCGATCTTATTAGTAAAAAATATCCAAGAACATTGGTATTATACGGAAAGTAGGAAATCTTTTATCTCCTAAAACATTTATCACTCTCTATTATAGTCTTATCTATCCTTACTTAAGTTATTGTAATATTATATGGGCAAGCACGTACACTACATCACTTAAACCGCTTTTTTTGCTTCAGAAACGATACATCAGGATAGCGTCAAAAGTTCCATTCACTTTCCCTACTGCACCATTGTTTAAAAAGCTCAAAATACTGTCCATAAATGACATAAATAAACTACAAACAAGTCTTTTAATGTACAAGATAATGAATAAATGTCCTTGCCTTCCTGAAACCTTCCACGACACCTACACCTTCTTATTAAACTCAGACATCCACAACCACTTTACACGCCAATGCAATTATTTAAGGCCATCCAATGCGAAATCGAATCTCCGTCAATTTACAATCACGTACAGAGGCCCAACAATTTGGAACAACCTAAGTAGAACTTTACAAATTAGTCCCTCCGTCACCATTTTCAAAAATTATACTAAAGCAACTTTCATAAATAACCCCACACATTCTTAATTTTTGTTTAAGTTTCCTTGTTTACTACTTTTCATTACTACTTTTCATAATTGTAGATAGTATTGTATCGTATTGTATTTTATTGTTTTGTTTCATTTACCCGTTACCTAGTAAGTTATTTCTTATTTATCCGATTAATTTGAATTGTTAATTAAGTTATGAAGGGAGGCCTCCTCATAAGCATTTTATGCTTCCGGCCTCCCTGCACTGTCACATTTCATTTATATTTTCTTGTGTCTGTATTTTGTTTTAAAGTGCGAATAAAAACTGAACTGAACTGAACCATGGACATCAAAAAGACTGAACGTCAGTAATTAGGAGTAATCACATCTTCAAAAGCAAAAGCAGAATCAGAATCAGTTCAACTCACAATTTCTGGTCGCAGTGCTTTGGTTTGTCCATCCTGTATCCCTGGTGAACTCCGTCCATAACTTCGCGTTTGGACATACCGGGATATGGAGTGGCACCTGAGGGAAAAATTAACTTAACATACTTTTCATACATATAGTATGTACTACAGTAACTGTAAATTTCAAGTTACCAACATCAATGTAGCTTTTGGTATGTAGCTGTGACGTCTTGCACACAAAACCTATAAAAGCAAAGCTACAGTATTAATCTCGAGCTCCTTGTGATAGATTTGGAATGAGTCTAATAATGAGGATTGTGCGGAAAGTACAATAAGCCCACCTAGCGTGACGATTTCCCAGAGCAGGACTCCGAAGGCCCAGACGTCCGTCTTGGTGGTGTACTTCCGGTGGAACAGCGACTCCGGAGCCATCCAGCGGACAGGCAGACGGGTCTGGGTTGGGTTTAGGTGAAAGAACATTCATCAATTAACGTTATGTCAATATCTAATCCAAAGCTAGAAAAAACTCAAACATAAGTTGTATACTCAGTCTGATGGATGATAGATACCTTGGCGGTCCTCTCGTATTCATCTCCCTCCCGTGAGAAGCCGAAGTCTGACACCTTACAGGTCCGGTCTGCGGACACAAGCACGTTCCGGGTCGCCAGGTCACGGTGCAAGATCTGCAGCAACAAAATGTAGTAAAGATACGTTGATAACACCCAGGTAAACAATACTTAAGAGTAAAAAACCATCTGTGCATTGTAGACAAAATCAAAGCAGTCACTGGGTAAGCAATTTTAAAAGTCCTTCAATTCATCAAATATCTAAAACTGTCACTTCTGACATGTGTCAACTTTCCAGAATCGTGATTACCTCTAGTGTAGTGACAGTTACATATATGATAACAGGCTTCTACTTACCTTCTTAGAAGACAGAAAAGCCATCCCCTTGGCGACGTCCCAGGCGAACCTGGTGAGGTCCCGTGAGGAGAGGGACTTGCTGCCGCCGTGTAAGTTCCCGTATGTCTGCTGGGTCCGGCTGGTGCGGAGGGTGGACTGCAGACTTCCTCCGGACACGTACTCAAGCACGAGATAAAATGGCTCTAAAGAAGGAATCAAATTGAAATATGACATTATGGAATGCCATTTAAAATTAGGTAGAATTTTACAAAAATCACGAATCTAAAAAAATCGAAATGCATAGTAGGGGTTTTGTTCTTTTCACCATGCCTTAGGGTTGATGGCGTTCAGCACCAAGGTCAGGTGTACTAAACGGTGCGTGGATCGCTTATGATGAAAACAGGTACTAGGTTTTGGTTCTAACCTGTGTCTGTACAACAGCCAAGAAAAGACACGACATTGGGATGAGTTCCCAGGAGCTTCAGTACTGCCAGTTCTCTGAAGAAAGCAGTTGAAGCAGCGGCAGTTGACATACCTAAGGAATAGGCAATGCGAGTGAATAAAGTGAGATTGCTCCAAAATGGGAATATGGGGTCTAATGTATAATGATTAAGTGAATTGAAATTCTTCGTCTTCATACCTTTCAGCTCTTTGACAGCCACGACAGTTGTGCCCGAGGTTCCTGATATTTTCCAGGCTTCAGCTTTGTAGACACTCCCAAACTCTCCCTGCCCAAGTTCTTCTTTAATATCCAGCTGATTCCGCGGGAACTCTGACGGAGCTTTCACATCCTCATACGCGCCATCCGATGTTAACTATAACAAGAACATCCATATTCGTCAGAAAAAAATTGTATAATGAGTTTATCAACTTTATGAGTTTATCAACTTTATCTTTCAAAAACCTTGCAATAGATGAGAACATTGATTTAAAGTATTACATGTATTTGCAAGAAACTGAAGACTGTATAGTGCCTCGTTCCCACCCCGTGCCACCAGCCCCTGATATGTGTGATCAGACTGAAAAAAAAATTAAGAGAATGGGTACTTAAAAAAATTCAAAAACTAGCCTTCTCGTTCCTTTGGGATAATAAACCTGACAAAATAAAACGTACAACACTATATTCCAACTACTCAGAAGGGGGAATCAAAATGGTTAATATATTCTCCAAATGTAAAAGCCTACAAGCGGCCTGGGTAAAGAGACTTATACAAACAGATCACAGTAACATACGAAGATGGCAAGCAATACCTTTACATTTTATTACCAAACTTGGAAGACATTACGATATTTTTAGATGTAATTTTGATGTTAAGAAAAATACTCTACCCCTGACTAAACTCCCACCCTTTTATAGAGAAGTGGTTCTAGCCTGGCAGAAACTTGGAGGGGGGAAGGGGGATCCTGTGAAAATATACGATGATAGAATATGGTCAAACGAAAATTTCAAGATAAAGATTCGCAAGGAAAGCCATATGATATGGATCAATTTATGCAAAATACCTATAGAAAAGCTTGACACCAAATTTTTATACTCTCTTTGTCTGTCTACAATTATCACTATACCTTCCTCCCAATCTTACTGGGACAGTCTTTTCCCGAATCTTAACTGGAAGAAAATATGGGAAACACAAACCAGAAGATTAAAAGAAAATAGATTAAAAGAATTCAACTTTAAATTACTGCATAAAATACTTCCTTGCAAATTTTTATTGAACAAATGGAAAATAGTTAATACCCTAGGAACCATATACAGTCCCAAATGCGACATTTGTAACCAAGATGAAAACTATGTTCATATGTTTTTTGAATGTAAAAGGATCAAAGACTACTGGGGGGGAGTTAAGCACTTGCTTTCAGAAAATGATATTACTATAGACACAAATACGATAGCTTCTGTACTATTTGGAGATAATTTTTATGTCACCTTAGCAAAATATACAATTTATGTATCTTGGATAGCATACAAGGATCATCCTGAGTTATTTAGAAAACACAATGTGCTACATTTGTTTAGGACATTCACTCATGATTACTATTCAGAATGACAAGAATAAGACTCTCTACTCTGTCTCTGAAAGAGAAATAAGATAAGCACACACACACAAAAAAAAATATGTTTTATGTTCGCAAGACTCATGTACTTTATTAATTTATTATGCTTATATGCTGACATATAATTTGTAACATACATGTGGAGAGAATAAAGTACCGTGGCGGACACGGAAATTGTAAAAAAAAAAAAAAAAAAAAGA